TATATATATATATATATATATATAATGGACCCCGGTTAAGTTTAATTCTGGAATTGCCACTGAGTGTAACAAGGAAAAAAATGTTAAAAAAATATTACTAAGGAAATACCGAGGAAAGTTGGATATTGATAAAGATCCTAGGAAAAACGTAGGAAATACCGAGGAAAGTGTAGTTAGTACAACTTTCATAGGAAAAGTGTAGGAACAATGAGTGTATTCTCTACATAAACTCGGTATGTTTTTGTTGTTACAAAAAAAATGTTAAAAAAAATATTACTAAGGAAATACCGAGGAAAGTTGGGTATTTAAAAATATCCTAGGAAAAGTGTAGGAACTTCCGAGGGATTTCCGAAGAAAGCGCGTTTATGGTTATTCCTAAGAATTTTCCTCGGTAATTGGTAGGTAATACCGAGAAATTCATTTTCCTCGGAAATATCCGTAGGAAATCCCTCCTTTTTCTAGTAGTGCAACTTTTCTTTCTCGGATGATTGAATTCAAGACATCTAAAAGAATAAGGCCATTAATTAATTAGTTTCAGCTTGAGCTTTAAGTATATGAGCTTATGGAATCTTTTCGGTTACACACACATAACTGAAAACATAGAAATCTAACAACTAGAAGGTATGAGAATTACTTGGGTTTTTGGTGTTGAAGTATCTCCTACAAAAGTTGTGAAGTTTCTGTTGTACCAGCTTCCTTTGATCTTAAAATCACAGACATGGTTACTACTGATTTTGTTTTCCAAGAACACATGAACACTGGATCAAGTGAGGAGTTACATTCGATCGATGGTGTCTAGTCATTAACTCGAAGATATATTAGTCCACTTAAATGTTAAATTTAGCATGAAATTTTTATACCTAAAGAAAAAACTATTAAAATTGAACTTAAAGTCACCTTTTTACGGATCATAACGATGGGTTGTCATCAACATCAAGTAGAATTCTCTGATAATGAAAGGATGTGTCGCATGGTTTCACTTTGATCAAGATTTTATGGTTCACATAAGTGATCACAATGTTTCCGTATAAATTTCTATCAACTATAATATTGAATTGATATGGTTCCCTGAACTGTGAGACCTTATCACAGAAACTGGCCAAGACAAAGGTGAATAGCTTGGTTGTGCCATCGTTAATATAAGTACACAGGCAAAGACAATGAGTGAAAGGCTTTTAAATTTTTTTTTTTTTTGTTACATTCTAGTTTCTATTACAAATTTTGGGAATGGGAAGTGATCCAACAAGATTCGGTTGGATATTTTGTGAACGTACAATTTATGTAATCTGTTTAAGAAAAGCACATCCACTCATTTTATTAAAAAAAAAGAATAAAAAAAGAGTAAAACAAAGTGGACCGTAGGGACTTAAAACAATATAAAGAATTACTACAAATATGTTTTCTGCGAACTAGTTTTTGATAAAAATATGGTAGTTTTGAAAATGATCGGTAGAAATAGGGCAATTTTCCTTTGTAGAAATGGTCTTTTTGCTTGGGCCCACCGGTTTACATCCTTAGGGTAACCACAATGCATTAGAGCATTGGGTGTGGGCAACAAGATACAACACTAAATTATGCCATCTCACATGCCACCTAAGCAAATGGTGTTATAACACCAAGTGGAGAAATGGGCAACAAGATGCAACACCAAGCTTTTGAGAATAAATATGTTTTTTCTTTTTATTGTTTTGACCATTGACAAGGGTTAAAAGAGGGCAACGTTCGGATTTTACTCGTTGGTGTAGGTTGTAACGACGACGAGAAGCCCCACGACGAGAAGCAACTAGATGCTGGGACGGTGTGCAACGAGATGCAACGCCGTTTTGGGCGTCCACCTCAGCCACAACGAGCACGTCTCGTGCCCACACCGTATCCTCTTAAATTTCATAGAATTCAATGGATTGCCACATCATTTTTCTACATTCCATACAACTCAATCGATTTTTTTAACAATGCATTGAACTCTACAAAGTTCAATAGAAAGTTACAAAAGCTAATTTATAATATGTATTTAAGATTAGAAAACTTTCATTTTTCCCATTGAAGAGTTCAATTACCATTGAACTCCAAATCCATTGAATGCCAAGGTAACACCTCACTATGGTAGAGTTCCGTCCACTCAATGAAGACTACACTTGCCACCTCATTCAGCCCTCCCATTGAACTCACTATTATGATGCTCTTAAAATTAAACAAACATTCAGATTTTATATTTTTGGTCCTTTAACTTATATCATTATTTTTTGTATAGCTTTTATTATTAAAAAGTCTATTTTTTAACCTTATTATAGATTATACATTAATTACTTTATTCAAAAATATGTTTACGCTTCATGTATTATTTTTAGGAAATTACATTTTTAAATAAATCTAATCAACACCTTCAAATAAACACCAATATTAAATATATTTAATTGTTACGAAACTATAAAAGCATTTAAATATGACATTACAATACTAAATAAGCATTAACAACAGTATAAAGTAAGCACACATTTAAACATAAATTAATAAAAGTACATATTTCACATTGCAGTGTATCTTGCTTGAAAATTTGAATAATTTCTTTGATTATGAACAGGTTGGGGGCATAGTCTACATCTGCGAGGTTCGTTGGGGTGACAAATGTCCATCTCATTACGAAAACTGTTTGAACGTCTCCGACCATGATGAACCGAGACTGTTGAGTAATCTGCTTCAATCTTCCAATCTGACTGTAATCGAAAGCCGAATTATACTAATGTTTGTACATCATTACAGTGTACACATTATTCAAAATAAAAATAGAGTCATCCCCTCCATACCGACAACCTGAAAGAGGATGAGAACATGTGAATCTTTCCATTTTTCATTTTCCACATGTGCATGTTTGTTGAAAATAATGTACGGTATGTATATTTTCTCTAGTGCCATTTATCTGTAACTTTGTAAAAATTATGTAGACACCTTCATTGTGGTCAAACTCGGTTAAGTTATGGCTTTATGTACGAGTGTGTCGGTTACAAAATAGAAGCCACATGTGTGATGGTAGAGGTATATTGCAATTCATTGCAACATTACTATGTTTTTTAAAAAGTTGCACAGTTCTGTTGAATGTAAGGTCAATACACACCCTAATAAGTAGATGTCTTGCTCCCCACAATGTGTTGTTCATACTCTCAAAGATATTTATTATCAAGATACCCCATCTATGGTTTTCATCATATAAAATACACCACTGACTTTATTTGATTTGTTTTAAATAATGCAAAGCTTCAAGTTTGAGTTTTTGTACTTCTCATATATTTATCAAACTTTCATTTCTGTGTGGTGCTCCTGATAGCCCAACATAATTTTTATGACTGAAGTTCTTTTACCTTTTCATGAAATTACTTCTAATGTGTCGAAGATAGAAGCGATGGTATGCTAATTGCTCTTTCCATTCTTGTAGATTTTCCATTCTTGTAGATTTTCCTTAGTGCCTATCTGAAATCACACATAATTGTCTATCTTGTGCAACAAAATGTCTAAGTTGGTAAAAGAACCAACACCAATTGTGTGATGACTTTTCATCGACACACTACAAGATTAAAGACCTATGGGGACGACAAAAGTCATCGCCATAGGGTGCAAAGTCTTCGCTATAGACCCTGGAGACGAGATGTCGTCCCTATAGGCTCGTTGCCATAGGTCCGTCGCTTTAGATCTTATTGTCGTTGCCGTAGCCAACCCTATAGCGACGACTTGCAGTCGCCATATGTAAACCTATTGCGACGACTTCTTGTCGCCGTACATATCCCCATAGAGACGATAAGTTGTCTCTTTAGGTTCTGCATAGATTTTAGCCATGCCCCTATGATTTGTTTAATTTCCCAGGATTTTTATTTACAATAAAAGTTTTATATACAATAAAACAAAAAAGAGTAAAATTAAATATAAAACATTTCAAATATCTGCAATCCAAAGTTTTAAAATATATTACACGATCGGTTTACTAAAAACAAACAACATAATTTGAAATCTTTTAGATGTTCATACAAAACAGAGTAGAGTTGATAATCGAAACAATATCTCATGAAAAGTTAAGCGGGTTTCCATTTTCTTCCTCGAACAAAACCAATAGGTTCCCTCAAAAAGGAAAGATCGGGGTACCTGTACGTGTCAAACATAAAGCCAATGTCACAAATCACAATTGCTAGCTATAAAAAATATAATAATCAAATAGACACTGATAAATGCAGGTTTCGAACCATATTTGTGAGGGAGAGCCCATAGGGGTCTTAAACGAGACCAAATATCTTCCAATACTTTGGGCATTGATCGAAACTTCACCTTTCCCCATTGAAATAAGGTTTAGTTCAATCGACTTGTTTCCACTAGGCGAGTCAAATATCATATGTGGCGTACAAATCAACAACACAATTAGTAAAAAAAATGCATAACATATTTTTTTATTTCATTGAAATAGGATTAAGGGTAATCCCATTAAGGTTAGAGTACAAAGAAACAAGTACTAGCTCAATGATACATGACTTGACCTCTGTAAATTGATAGCTTCTCCCCCAAGAAATCCAACCTTGGTCAATTAATGTAACCTCATTCAGAGATATACACAACAATAACTGCAAATAAGTAATTTAATATCAAAAATTAAGAATGTTTGATGAAAAATATACCTATGTGTAAACTAATAGCTTTTCCAATGTGAAGTTTGTAACTTTACGGTTTCTATCAGGCATCATTTCAATACATTTCAATTTTTAAAAAATATATATCAACACAAAGCCATACAAACAATATCTTTTCATTGATATATGTATGTACCAATGATAACCTGGTGAGTCTTTCATACATTTGTTCCAAAAATCTCAAGCATTACTTTTTTTTAACAAAATCATACAAAACCAAGCGTTCACATCACAAATCAGTAACCTTAAACATAACCCTAAACAGATTCATACACTTCCATAAAGTTTCAAACATATTCAGAAAAAATATTAACAAAATCACACAATTATACATCACAAACACGAAGACAAACATGTTAAAGAAAATGGGAGTTGGAGAGAGAACTGCAATATCAGGGGAATGAGGTCGTCGGAAGCAGTAGAAGGAACCAAGAGGTCGCCGAAAGCAAAGGAGTACAGGTCGACGGTGAAACTGGTCTTCTCTGAGGTGGTCAGCAAGAATATAACTTGTGATCGAAAGAGAGAGAAAGGTGAAGGGAGAGAAGGAATCGTCGGACCAACGTCGTAGCGAAGATGGTGGTCACTGTAGAGGTCGACGGTTACCTGGTTGTCGTTGTGGTGGCCGACGAGAAGCAAATCACCACCTTAGAGGGCGAGAGTCAAAAGAGGAGCATCGATCAATTAATGAGAAAGGGATACTTCTTCCAATTTTAGAGAGCATACAACCCTATAGGAACGACTTGTCGTCCCTATACCCTCAAGCAAAACGACGTCTCCCTAATTTCTGATTAAACAAATTAAAAGAATGTATATATATATATATATATATATATATATATATATATATATATTATATATATATATATATATATATATAATTTAATTTCTTTTTGGGAAAATATGTCGTCCCTATAGGTTTTTAGAATCCCACCAACATTTTTTCGTTCCCGCCTTAACAGTGGAGGCGATTTATCGTCACTTTAGCTTTTAAAGTCAAAAATGTTTGGTCAACCCTATAGCGACAATATCTCGTCCCTATAGGGTCATCTATAGTGACGACTTTTGCCGTCCATATATGTTTCGTCCCTGTAGTTGTTTATTCTAGTAGTGACGATAGCATATGCAACAATTAATATATTATTTTTAGCATCTTTTGTGACAGCAACAAGCAATTTCCCCTTATATGAACCCTTCAAATGACAACCATCAACATAAATAACAGGTCGACATAGACGAAATGCATCAATAGCATGTCCAAAAGCCCAAAAAACATACTTGAATGTGGCAACATATGAGGAGTTATTTGTCTTATGAAACCACTTGACAATTGTATTAGGATTTGAAGCTTGCAAAGTTGTAATATACTTAGGCAACTCATCAAAATTACTTTGCCATGTGACATAAATAGTCTCTATGGCTTTTCTCCTTCCATGTCATACCTTCCGGTAAGAAACATCAACATTCAAAATGTTTTTAATATCTAATTGTATATGTTTTACTAGATAAGCAACATCTTTTTCAATTGAATGCAAGATGTATGAGGAAATAGGTAAAGAGTTTAAACTTCTATTATTTCCAATACATTATCCAAATCAATTGTAAGCATCCACCCAACGACTTTTAACAAACTTTTTTACAGATATGATATTATGAATAGAAGACAAAATTATAGTACTAAAATAAAAATAGATTAAATAATTCAATCATTTGCTTTCTTTGAGTTTTCATGAACAATCACAATGACTTTTAACAAGCTTTTGCAAATATGTTATCATGAATAGATATTTTAGAGTTTCAAAAAATAATAAAAATATAAAATAACAAAAGTGTTCATACATTTATTAATTGTAATAAAAACCTATCAAGCAAATGTAATATATTAAATATTGAAATTTATTCAATGAGTTTGATAGTAAGAGTATATACAATTTAATTATATACTTTTAATAATCTAATTTACATATAATGTATAAAAGGGGTAAAAACTAAAGTTTTTAATAATAAAAGCTCTGCAAAAAATAATGATATACGTTAAAGGACTAAAAATGTAACATGTTTACTTAATTCTAAAAGCAAAAGACGAAGGTCAACTTGGGGCCCAATCAAAAAGCTCATTTCTGTAAAAAGACTCATTTCTACCGAGGAAAGAAAAACTGCCCTATTTCCATCAATCATTCTCAAAACTATAATATTTTTACCAAAAACTCTTAATACAAATCAATTTTATTACACAACAGGTTACACATGTATAAACATCTAGACTGTTGCTACATATTTATGTTACAATGTTTGATACTTCTGGACAGTTATAGAAACTATCAGAGCGGGTCCTGAAAAAATAAATATTCTCAAAGGCCGAGGACGAACAAGAAAAAAAGGCCTTTATCTTTATTATAATTTTTTATTTTTAAATAAAAATATATAATGAAAAAAATTGGGCCATATGCAGCTGCCCACTTTTGTCTCCCTCAAAACCCCCATGGAAACTATAATACTAATATTTATGAGGATGTGAAAAGATAATCTATAAATTAACCCATTGATCCATCAAGGATTTAATTTAGGAAGTGAGAATGCCGCCCAAATTTGTACCAACTAGTTGCTTCAAAAGGTGTTTTTTTTTGTCAGATTTTATCATTTTCATAGCCTCAACAATCGCTATAAGTGTGACCACAAACGCATAATCCACCTTGGGATAAATGGTCACCATGAATTTGCCCTCAACCCACTTCATATTCTTCGATGATTGCATTTTAGACATCTACAAGAAACAGTCCATTTATTAGTTTCAGCTTGAGCTTTAAGTTCATGATATGAAGTACTTACGGAATCTTTTCAGTTATACACAATTACACATGTACATAACTACATACTGAAAGCATGGAAGGAAATCTACTAGAAACCAACTAAAAGGTATCAGATAATATGAATTACCTGGGCTATTGGTGTAGAAGTATCTCCCACAAAAATAGTGCAGTTTCTGTTCGACCAGCTTCCTTTCATCTTAAAATCACAAACATCGGCACTACTGGTTTTGTTTTCCAAGAATACATCAACACCGGTCTTAAACTGGATCAGGTTATGTATTTTTGCGCTAAATATTATATCCGAATTACTTTCACTTTCACCCCTGAATACACTCCATCGACCGTGTAGAGTCATCAACTAGAAGATAGATATATTGTTAATCCATCTCTGTTTTAAATTTAGCATCAAATATTTAAACCCCAAAGAGGAAAATTAAAAAAAAATATATATATTAAAAATTGAACGTAAAGTCACCTTTTCACGGATCATTGCGATGGGTTTATCATCAGCGTCAACAAGCACTCTTTGATGACGAAAGGATGTGTCGCATGGTTTCACTTTGAGCAGGATTTTATGGTTCATATCAGTGATTACAATGTTTCCACGTAAAGTTGTATCAACTATAACATCGAGTTGAAATGGGGCCATGAACTGAGACCCTATCACAGAAACTGGTGCATAGCTATAGCTCGGTTCAGCCATGGGCAATATACGTACGTACACACACACAGTGTGTGTGTGTGTGTGTGTGTGAGAGAGAGAGAGAGAGAGAGAGAGAGAGAGAGAGAGAGAGAGAGAGAGAGAGAGAGAGAGAGAGAGAGAGGAGAGAGAGAGAGAGAGAGAGAGGAGAGAGAGAGAGAGAGAGACGTACGTACACAGAGAGTGAGAAAGAGAGAGACAATGAAAGGCTTTTAACATGCAAGATTTGCCCTCCCATGTTGGTGGATTGCTTTTTTCTGGGGTTAGGATTTTGGAAGTTTGTCAGGAAGCCTCAAACGCACACGGCATTTTTTAAACGAAGTCTACCCAAGTCATCGCTTAATTCGTAAATGACATCGACTATCAATTAACACCTACATGTTTTTATTCCATGTGGCTGTTTATTAAAAAGGGTAACGGGACAAGCGTTACTGCTTTTTCTTTGTGTAAATATATACCATGATGATGTTGTTTGGATAATAATGTCCAACTACTTTCCACTCCTAGAAAACATATTTCCACTCCTAGAAAACATACTGTTTACCTACAGCAGATTTCGTAGGTAATCTGTAGATAAAACGTGTTACCTACAAATCACTACAAGAATAATAGGTAATAGCGGCGACACCTTTAGCAGCGACATCAAACAAACACGTTTTTGTCGCTGCTAAAAGGTTCGTCGCCGCTAAAGGCTTATGTTGGCGATCCGCGTCATTTCAACCTTAACCGTCGATTTAGGCGATATCCAACAACTAGGAGGACGTAGAAAACTCCGCGTTATTTTCCCTCCGGTGTGTCGCCGCTAAAGGCTACCCGTCGTCGCTAAAGGCGTCGCTGCTATTGCCTGTTCTGGTGATCCGCGTCATTTCAACCTCATCCGTCGATTTAAGCGATGATCCAACGATGTAGGAAACCCCGGATTGTTTTCCCTCCGATCTGTCGCCGCTAAAGGCTGCCCGTCGCCGCTAAAGAGCGTCGACAATAAAATTTGTTTCGTCTTCACTTTCTTCCCTGATCTTCTGTGTTTTCCCTTCTTCTCTCTTCTCTCTGCTCACCACCGTTGACCTCATCAGAATTTCACCGAAATCTTCGATATTTCACCCCTCTTCCTCTCCATTTCCCCCTTTTTCTTTTCCTTTTCTCTTCTCCCTACTAAATTTGTGTTGGTTGTCGGAATTTTGAGATCCCCCACCATTCTCGCCGGAGTATACCGCCACCACCACTGTTCATGACGAAATTTTGATAATTTTGATATTTTAGATGTGTATTTGTATGTGTATTTTGTGTTTGTAGATGTGGATATGTATTTGTATTTGCATTTGTATGTATGTGTATCTTGAGTGTATTTTATGTATGTATATGTGTTTTTGTATGATCATTTATATGTATATGTGTATTTTGTATGTGATTTATGTATGTGTATGTGTTTTTGTTTGTATATGTGTATTTTGTATGTGTATTATGTATGTATGTGTATTTGTATGTATAAATATATATATATATATATATATATATATATATATATATATATATATATATATATATATAAATAGCGGTGACACCTTTAGTGGCGACAGATAGTATTAGCAGCGACACACCTTTACCGGCAACGGAAGGCAATAGCGGCGACCAATGGAACATTAGCGACAAACCAACAGCAGCAACCCTTTAGCGGCGACAGGTCGCCGCTAATACCTTTAGCTGCGACATTTTCGACCTTTAGCAGCGACGCTCGTCGCCGCTAATACTCTAATTTTCTTGTAGTGAATTGTCTACGGAAACAGCTCCGTAGGAATACAGCTCGTGGGTAATTGGTTGTAACGGATTACCTACAGCTACATTTAACTACAGATCACCTACGAAACTTGCTTTACTACATATTACCTACGAATTTTTTATCTACAGATTACCTACGGAATATTAGCTACAGATTCCCTACAAAAATATTACCTACCGATTTCCTACGACTTTTTCCAATTTGTTGTAACGGATTTATCCGTCGCAACTCCGTCACTAAAATGATTTTAGTTTTTTTTTTAAATGAATTAAATCCAGATTTTTGCTGCCCAAAATGCATAAAAGAACCCTATAAATTAGACCTAAAATGACATTCAAATTCAACGAAAAAAGTAAATTTTCTAATACATTATAAATTGTCTAACATATAATAATATTCAATTTCAACCACAAAACTAATAAGCATTGACATACAAATGGTATGATACATTTAAAGTGTCTAATACAATTACATAAAACATGTAATAAATGCTTAACAAAGTGTTTAAAAGAAAAAACTAAGAATCATTCTATGGATTACCGGATGGGTTTATTGAATTGTCTCATAAAATCTGTCTACACTCTTCAAGGTGTCTTTGTCTTTGTTGAGTTTTTTCATGCCTTTGAACTTGTTCATGCAATGCCCAAACCTAAAAATGACAAGACAACCATATATAATTAGTATATGTACTTTACTTTTAAGCGATAACAGCAATGTACTTTAGTTTTAACCCATTATAAGAACGTATTATTTAACTTCATCATTGATCATTATAAGAAAATAAAAAACATAAATAGTAACTACTAGTTCATCATTCATCGCACATATACCACCATAATCTTTTCCATTTGTCATTTAATAAAAGGTACACAAGCATCTTATTTATATTAATTATTGAATACAACAATTTAATAACCTTTATTAACAAAAAACGTTAGCAAGCATTTATTACAACATATTGTAATTGAATCAGTTTTTTCTATTTTGCATGAGAGAAGTTGCATGAATATATCATCATCAGACAACATTTGTAAACCCTAGTCTACTAACAAGCATTATATTGGCAAGCATTAAAACTAACAACAATAAAGTAAGGATATTTCCTGTCAAGCTATCACATAACAAACTCCTTGAGACTTTACATTAAATAATGGAAATGAAAATAAAAATCATAAGCATTGTAAAGCTCTAGATGCATAACTGTCAAATCTACTAAATTAGATGCAATTTGTACCCTGTCAGGTTCTAAATTAACGAGGCTGATTTCAAGTCACAAGGTCATCTAGCTTCAACATCATCATCATGTTATTCCTTCTGTTCTACTACCTACAAATAATACTAGTCAAGAAACTATTGATAATTGATATGAATAATGAAAAATGATAATGGTAGGAATGAATTTGGAGAATACTATGGAACAGAAAAGCATCCTACGCCTCCTTGCTGTGAAAATTAACATCTGTAACAGCTTAGCTCGACAATGCAAAAAATGAACAACAATTTGATTATATTTTAGTCTGTTTATTCAAGTAATTTCCTAAAAATACTTGAAAAGTAAGAATGAGAACACAAATAACAAAGGCACGTAAATACTTTACTCTCCTTATTCAAAAGCAAAATGATTATTGTTAGGTCTACAAGTTTTCAAGAGATTGGATACAAGGAATAAGATGAGTAATAACTTCTTTGCAGAAATTCATCAAAGGTCTTAATAGGTCTCGACAAACTTCACAAATAGATGTAGGGAAAAGAGGAGTAATAAATTTCTTTATAGATTCAACACATATGCATCCCAAGTCCATATTAATAAAAAAAATCATGAAAGCTACAAATCGGGACATAGCAGGGAGTAAGTCTATTAAAACTAAAAAAATGTATTTATAAAATATGCATAAACAAGAACACTAGATAGATGCAGAGACGCTTAGGTGTTGTTTGTTTTGGAAGTGGTTAAATGTTTTTTGTCTTTTTCCAAGTTTGCGGAAGAAGACGTGTACTTGCAAAACGTCTACCCGCCAGAAGGGAAAAGTGCTCAAAAAGTACTTTTGTAGAAAAACAAATGAGGTCTTAGTGTCTTAGAAAGGGAAAAGGCGTAGGATGGAGGGTTTCCATCGAGGCGGACCTGTGAAATTCGCCATCCTCTATCGTTGGCGGCGGAAAGGAAGAAGAATGTTGGATGCAACGCACGACTGGAGCAGGTTGTAGATGAGTGAGAAGGGTTCACCATAAAAGACGAAAAGCAGAATTCCTTCGATTTGGGGTGAGCGGGAACTATGGTTGATTTGGGTGGTGCGGAGAAACTGAGGTAATATCACATAAAGATATGAGAAATTAATACCAAAACGGCTGGATTTGATGTTAATTTCCAGAAATCGTCGAAAGATACAGATGGATGGAGGAAGGGTGTGCAGATGAGGCTCATGGACAATAGTCGCTTATTTAGGGATTCGAAAACACGAGAATCAATGGCAATCATTCGATCAGTAAAGTGTTAGTTTCTTCGTCTTCAGCTTGGACAACCATGAAGGTGGTGCTCGGGTGGCCGTGTTGAGGATGAGGGAGGTGTTAGGTTGGAGGGAGTGGTGCCACACTCCCTGATGAAACTGTAGTGTCACGTAGGCGTCATGTCACCATTTACCACAAAAGTGTGGTTTCATACCACACACAAGGAGTGCCACACTTTGACTTTTTTTTTTGTTTAATAAATAATTGGGATTTATAAGTCAAGGGTAGATTGTGTCATTTCTGAAACTAATTTTGTAGAGAGAAGTTAAGCACGGGTTTTTTTCTGTTCGTAGACCAAACTCCAAGGACCTATTATGCTAAATTCTAAAAATAGGATGTCTTCTTTCTCGCAGCTCGTGCTGCCTGATTTCCTCCATTGTTAACAAACCCAAACTCGAATTTTTTACTGTATTTCAATTCCTAGCCTCAAGTAGCTTCCCTTCCGAATCTTAAAAACCTTATATATATAGATAGTTAAAAAAAATTGAAAAACGAGCATTTGGAACGGCAGCCAATCACAAACCATCACCAAGTGCTCCCTTCCATTGCCGCACTGCGGCCTTAGCCACACCTTAACCGCACCGAAGGGGCGGTGTTCAGCTGCCACGGTGGCAAAACTGCAGTCTGGAACCGCACCACTCCCTCCGGTCTTAGGCTTGGAGAAGAGGGAAACCTTGATGAAAGGAGGGGGAAATTAGAATTTTTCACCACTATTCTAGTGGGAAAGCGTTGAAACCCGCTAAAATTTTAGGTTCGTCGGTAATTGTAGGAA